ATTCGGGAAGTGTACATAAGAGGCCCTGTTCTCCTACAAGGGGACAGTTAAATTGCACCTGGTCAAGGGAATAATGCTGACAGCATCTTCTCAGGGAACACTGGCTCATAACATGGCATCACACAAATTGACCTTGAGATATTTTTGTCAGGGAGCTGGTCTTGTAATTTCCCATGGGCTTTGGCCCCTCTTGTGTGTATTTGTCATTAACTCAAAAATAGCCTCTCATACTCTATCAACAGTGCTACGGATGGAATTGTTTCCCTAAAAAAAGATGTTGAAGAGAGAGAAAGCCTAACTCTGCCAATTCCCTGATTCCCAAACTGTGAAACAATAAAGTCCTGTTCTTTAAAGCCACCCACTTGTGGTATTTTTGTTGTCGTTGTTGTTATGGCAGCATTAGGTAACTAAGACAGTGGATGTAATTTGGTACAGCCTTTTGGGAAGGTAATTTAGCAGTATCTACTAAATTTTTTAATGTGCATGTCCTTTCAACACGCAATCTCACTTTAATTAAAATATCGCATAGAAATATTTCCACAAATGAGTATTATATGTAAAAGGATTTATTGTACCACTGTTGACATGGTGAAAAATTGGAAACAAATCAAATTAAATTAAGAGGGTACTGGTTAAGTAAGTTGTTATTCACAAACACAGTGGGGTACTAGGCAGCCATTTGGAAAAAAAAAAACATGAGGTAGCTCATTTTCTGCAATGTGGAAATATTTTAAAGATGTATTTGAGATCTGTATATTTATAAACAAATAAACATAGTAAAATCCTTTTTATGAAAAAAGGGCACACATATGCATATCTCACATACGTAAATAGAGATACATAGAAAGATCTAGAAGTAATGGTGTCTTCTGGGAAGGGGAACAGGATGGGTGTGAAGGAGAGGAGTAGGATTGAAGAATCAGGAAGACTTTCATGTTTCACCTTATATATTTCCATGGTGTTTGGATATTTCACAGAAAACATATATTACTGTATTTTGCAACTAAAATTCTTTTTTTAAAGAGACAATATTCCATTGTCCAGCTTTCCCCTCTGCACCAAAACTGCCTGTTGAGCACACAGACTTCTGTTCCACCTCCTCTATTAGATTTCCTCCCTGCTCAAGTTTCCTTCTATTCCTAGTATCCCCCCAAAATAGGCCACTTACCAAGAGGTGTTCTGGAGGAGTTACTGCCACCTGGAGAGTGGTGCCGATTGGCCATGAGCAGGCCAAGAAGGTTTATTCCTTGAATTCACTTTCCAAGCCTGAGGCAAACCACCTTTAGCAATCACAGTGGCTTGAATTTGTGGCAAAGTGTCCTCTGCCCAATCCCTAGTAGTTTTTACAAAGTTAGAAAAACAGAGAGCATGAAGGCCTATCAGAGTCACCATGTGGGATTACTATCTATTCCTAGTCCAATCAGGACTTTCAATTCTCAGGCTCAAACCCCTATACTGGAATCTTCAATAAATTATACTTCCTGGGAATCAGATAATAACTGGTAAGGAAGATAGTTTTCTAGTCACACCTTGGAGATATTTTTTGATCTGTATAAAGCCCACACTATCTTCCAGTGGCTGAAGAGTATGATACTGTGTGACCTCTAGCTTCATCATTGTCATCTCTACAACAGCCACCTGCACTCACTAGCCATCACTCCCACTAGGACTCGGTCTGAGTTAACTGCACCTCTACCATCTCTGAATTAAATCTAAGAGGTATATTTTTAATAATCTAAATGTGGAATTTCTGAATGAAATGTAGTTTAACCAGCACCTTCATATGATACAAGATAAGCAGTCTGGGGTCCTGGTTTAGAAGACACCCTCCCTCCCCTACAATAAGGAACATCTGATGGCTAATTTACTCACATTCACCTAATTTCCCTGAGTCACCTTCATGAAGGATTGCAGTAACGTTTTTCCCCATCTCCTGGCTGTGATACTAGCTTGGTTGTGGTGGATATAGACATCAAGATGGTCATGTCCAGTCCTTATGTTTATGTCTTTTGGGCACAAAAGCTGGACTGACTTTTTAGTGGTAAGTGATCAAACCATCTTACTGCTTGGATTGACTGGCTATTTCAGGTAGACACAGGTGCTTTATTTCTTTGGTGAGGGGCAAGCATCAGACCAAGAAGAGCCACAGAGGGCAGAAGGACTGTGGGCCTCCCCTTCCTTTCCACAGCCTACCAACAAAGGAAGGTGGGAGTGCCGTGGAACAGATGCAGTGGGAAGGGTGAAATGAGATGAGAAGAAAGTGACAAGTGTGAATAGAGGGAAGAGAAAATAATGGAAAGAGAGAAGTTAGGGTTGGAAAGAGGATTTTCTAGAAGAAACTCCACCACAAGTCCAGTCGTGGTAGGCACCACTCCTTCCATAAGTCTATCTCTCACACTAACCTCTTTATTTAGCAGAGTGTTTTCCTCAGCAGTTCCCTTCATAACCATGAATCTGCCACCTTTGATAATTCCAATCCTATGAAATGTACCTACAAAAATAGTACACTAGTACAGCCTCACTGGAAAAAGTGGAAGTATTTACTAAAGCTAAACATAAACTATGACCCAGCAATTCCATTCCTAGGCAAAGAGTCAAGAAATTATTGCAAATGTCCTCCAAACCTCGAGTACAAAAAAATCATAGCAGCTGTATTGAGTAAAGTAGACACAACCCAAATGTCCATCATCCAAAAAAACCAAACCAAATTCATTCCTATCAAGTTGGATCTGACTCACAGTGATCCCCCTTGGGTTTCCAAGGCAGTATCACTATGGAAATAGATCACCCAAACTTCCTTCCAGACTGGCAGTTCAAACCCACCAGCCACTCCTCAGAAGGAAGGTTGGGCAATCCTACTTCCGTAGTGATACTGCCTCAGAAACCCAAGGAGGGGTCGCTATGAGTCGGGGCTGACTCGACGGCAAATAACAACAACAACATATATATTTGTATTTATATTTATATTTATGCTTATATATATTCATGGGAGGGAGCTCTGGTGGCGTAGTGCCTAAGGCATTTGACTTCTAACCAGAATGCTGGCGGTTCAACCCAGCAGCCCAGCCACTCCTGGGAAGGATGATTGGGCAATCTACTTCCGTAGAGGTACTGTCTCAGAAACCCAACGAGGGGTGGCTATGAGTCGAATCGACAGCAGTGAGCAAGTATATTCATAGTGTTGCATAACTTTAACTACGATATCATTCCAGACAGAAGATGATCTATTTTTATACATTCTACTCAGAGATAGCTCACAAATTATAGACATTGAACCTGTTAAGCAGTTTCTTCATCTACTGCCAACCTCTGTGTTGGATTCTGATTTTTGCTAGATTTACAGCCCAAATTCCTCTTACCACTAGGTGGCAACAACGATCCAAGTAGAAGAGCTGAAATAAAGACCAATGTTGTTCTGTGCCCTTGAGTCAGACTTGACTGATAGAGACCCCTCGTTGGGTTTCCGAGGGGGTATCACTATGGAAGTAGATTGCCCAAAGTAGAAAAACCAAAATGCAAACTCACTGTCCTCCAGTCTGATCCAGCTCATAGCGACCCCTCCTCGGTTTCTGAGGCACTATTACTACCACTGGGAGTTCTGGTAGCATAGTACCTAAGGCATTTGACTGCTAACCAGAAGACTGGCAGTTCAAACACATCAACCACTCCTGGAAAGAAAGAAACCAAAAAGAAAAAAAAAAAAGAAAGAAAGAAAAAAACAAACTCAATGCTGAGGGATCAATTGGACTCATAGTGCCCCTTCTTAGGTTTCTAAGGTGGGTTTGAACCGCTAGTCTTCTGGTTAGCAGTCAAGTGCCTTAGGCACTATACCACCAGAGCTCCTAATCTAAAAAAAGAAAATTTAGCCCTATTTCTTCTTTCATTCTCATTTTGTCCAGTAAGGGGGAAAGACACTCATAAATTTGTACTTCTAGAAGTGTTGGGCAATCCTACTTCCGTAGTGATACTGCCTCGGAAACCCAAGGAGGGGTCGCTATGAGTCGGGGCCGACTCGACGGCACATAACAACAACAACAACAATGTTCTATTGGCATCCAAAAATACTTCATAAGTAATGGATGGGATCTGAAATCTAATCAAGAAGTTTATTTTCAGTGAAATCTGATGACCAATAAATAAAACTTTACATTATGAAATGAATGTGCCTGAAAAGCCACTTGTGATACATTTGTTTGTCTATTTAACTGTGATGATGTATTATCTTTATGATTGATATTAATATCAAATCCATCACCCAATACATTATAGATCTCCCTCCACCTGTGTCCTTTGCCCAATAAGTCAACTTAGTCTTTATGGCTCTGTTTGTCATTAAAGTATTCCTTTCTTTCCTTCCATTTTCGTTACTATCTAGTTTTCCATGTACTTTTGATGTCCCTCTTTTGTATCTTACGTTTCTCTCTTCTCCTTTTAATCATAATTAACAATTTATTAGCTTAAAAAAAAGCAAGGGACCTTGCTAATTGATACAACTGTTTTCACTGAAAAGAAAGCTTGAGAAGTAAAGTATCATACAGCTTGATTTTGTCAAAAAATCAACTCATTTTGTCCTAGACATAAACAAACCTAAGATGAGATCTTTGAAGCTGGGAATTGATGTATTGGAACAAACTGTATTACACTATACAGCATGGTAGGCTTTATGGACCATTCCTTGCCCCATTGTTGTTTGCTATTAGGCGCCATCGAATTAGCTCCAACTCTTGATGACCTCATGCACAACGGGATCAAATGGTTGAGATCCATAGGGTTTTACCTGGCTGATTTTTGGAAGCAGATCATCAGGTCTTTCTTCCTAGTCTGTTTTAGTCTGAAAGCTCTACTGGAACCTGTTCAGCATCACAGGAACGTGCTAGCCTCCGGTGACAGACAGGTGATGGCTGCACTTGGGGTGCATTGGTCAGGAATCAAACCTGGGTCTTCCTCACAGAAGGTGAAAATTCTACTACTAAACTACCACTGCCTTCATTCCCTGTTTCGAACCTGTCCTGTGAAAGGTTTACCCTCCTTATGTGTTTAAAAGAGAATACTTTACCTTGCCATAGCTAAGCAGTAGACTGCATTCTCCCTTAGAGTCTTTCCACTGTGCTTCGAGAAAGATGTGAAGGAGGATCTTAGTGAAAAGACAGCACTGGGCGTTGCATAGTAAAATGAAGGGTGTGAATATCCCGTTTTTGAAACTGGAGGGAGGGGTGCTTGAGGGAGATATCCATTTTTTATGAACTTTTCTTTTTTGCTAGCTGTGTCAGTACTTTTTTTCTGATTTTTTTCTTGATGTCTTTGTAATTCAGAGAATTTATTTGCATCTACCAGTGGAGGAAACTTGAGGGACTTGAGAGTTTCTTTTTCTGTGTTCTGCTGTGAACTTGCCAGAGGATTCACAGGGTTTCTGCTTGTAGTCTGTTCCCCCAGAGGAGACAACTTGCACAGGGTGCTTTGTGAGTCCTTGTTCCAGTACTTATGCCAGCTTTGGGAGGTCATTTTTGGTTTGCTGAAACCATCCACCATCACAGTATCACCAACTCTTGCCCCAGAGACCCTTGCTCGGTAAAGCTGCGTTTTATTAAGGCTGCGACTATGAGCTCTGAGGATCCATTTTTTTATTTTGATATAAATTCTCATGGAGATTGAAATTTTTGGAAAAGAGATTGTGGACCACATTTTATTCAGCAAATATAATACACAGTCTTTATGCTTGTGTTTGAGGGCAATGGTCAGGGGAGTTTGTCCTGCTGCATTTTTGCATTCCAGGCACAGCACGCTGCAGTTGACAAAGGTCTTCAGAATCAACAGTTGGCCTGATTCTGCAGCTGCATGAATGGGGCATTTAGAGACATCTGCATGAAGGGCTTCATGGCACCATGCTCGGTAGGGGTGAACGCCGACCGACTCATTGGGCCGCACACCCTGCTTCAGGGCCCATTCAGTGAGCTCAATGTACCCATAAAAGGCGGCGATGTACAGGGCCACTCTTTTCTGATACCTGAATGAGTGAATTAAGTGGAAGTGGGAGTGATTAGTAATCCAGCAAACAGACAATAGTTGTTATGCTAAATATTCATGAAACATTCTAGTTAAAATGTTTATTTCTATATTTACTGCTTTTTCCTAAAATGTTTTCAGAAAAGGCCAATAGTAATTCACCGGTTAAAATGCTGTTGTTAGGTGCCATCGAGTTGGCTCTGACTTTTAGTGACCCTATGTACAACAGAACCAAACAATGCCTGGTCATGTGCCATTCTCACAGTCCTTGCTATGAGTCCATCATTGCAGCACAGGCTCTGTTTTTACACTTATCCTACTATGCACATATAAATAATTCAACCTGGTTTCCTTGGCGTGTTCATCTTATGAAAATCAAATGCTTAGGAAAAATACCATGATTTATATTAAATGGGAAAATACTGAAAAAATTCAGCACATTTTAGAACTGTGAAAGTTCCATGCCCTTTAACCAATCTCCTAACTCCTTTAATCCTCCTACAGGCCTTTCCTCATTCAGCACTCAGTGTGGTATTTTCATTCCATAAATTGGAGGATACTTATCCTCTGTTTCCAACCCTCTGGTAGCTTCCCATTGACTTTGAATTCTAACTGCTCACCTTAGCCTATGTGGCCTCTCATCATCTGGTTTTGCTCCCTTCCTAGTTCCACCTCTCCCATCACTCTTCTCTTCTTTCAGCCTGCCTGCTGTCATTCCAACCCCCCAATTGCATTTGCTTTACCCTGTGTCTGGAATGCCTTCCTCTGATCTCCATATTGGCTGCTTCTTCCAGTTAGAGCTCAGCTCAGCCAACACCTACTCAGAGAGACCTTTCCAACTACTCTAGCTAAAACGTACAGACTGCCATACAAAACCAGTCAATAACTATTCCAAAACATTTTTCATAGCATTTCTCACTATCAGAAATCATATTATTTGCTTGTTTAATTGATTATTATCTGTCTTTCTTCCACTATAATATAACTCCTAGAAGGCAGGAACCCTATTCACTGCAAGATCCTTAGTGCTTAATCAGTTCTTACCACATAGTAAACCAAAAATATCAGTTATTATTGAGTCGCTTCTGACTCATGGTGACTGCACATGTGTCAGAGTATAACTGCTCCATGTTTTTTTTTTTTTAAAGTAGGTATAATTTTATTTATTTTTACCTTTTTATTGTGATTTGAGGAGCTAGTGGTAGTGTAGTGCCTAAGGCACTTGACTGCTAACCAGAAGGAAGGAAGGAAGGTTGGGCAATCTACTTCTATAGTGATACTGCCTTGGAAACCCAAGGAGCAGTCACTATGAGTCAGGTCCGAGTCAACAGCACATAACAACAACAGCATTGTGATTTGGATGAAAGTTTACAGTTTTCCATTCAACAGTTCATATACATTTTTTTGTGACAATACCTGAAACCCCCACAGTGTAACAGCTCTCTTCCCACTTCCTGCCTGGGGTTACATTTTCTTTGTGTCCTTCTTTCCCCTGCATTCCTACCTTCAGAATTTTCTTTCCGTGCTAGTGCTGCCCTTCTGATCTCCCATAGTTGATTGTTCTAAGGAGTATACCTCCCTGGTGTAATTGTTCACCTCATATGCCTGTCGATTATTTCCCTCAAGGTTAAGCTATGGGAGTGAGTTCAATTCCAGGTCCAGGGTGTTACTAGGAGCCATAATCTCAGGGGTTTTACCAGTCTCTATCAGACCATAACAACAACAACAACAACAGACCGCTAAGCCTGGTCTTTTTTATGATTTTGAGTTTTATTCCACATTTTTCTCCCATTCTATCCGGGATCTCTATTTTTGGTCCCTTTCAGAATGTTTGGCAATGGTAGCTGGGTACCAAGTTCCTCTGGTCTCAGGATTGTGTAATCGGAGGTTCCCATAGTCTACCTCTCCCTTAAGCTAATTGTTTCCATGTGTCTTTGATTTTTTCCACTCTTCTTTGGTCTGGACAAGGAAAGATCAATAGTTGCATCTTAGATGGCTGCTTGTGAGCTTTTAAGGCCCCTATCCCTACACACCAAAGTAGGATGTAGAACAATATTTTTGTGTAGTATGTTATGCCAATTGACCTTAATGTCCCCTGAAACAATGGTCCTGAGCTCACAGGCCCAGCAACTCACTCCCTCAAGGTGTTTGGTTGCAGCTAAGAAGTTAACATTTTACATAATTTTGCCCCTGTTAGCTCCACTATAAGGAGCACTGGGAGTGTGATTAAGGCATTTGGGCTGCTAACCAGAAGGTTGGCAGTTTGAACCCACTAGCTGCTCCATAGAAGTAAGATTAAGCAGTCTGCTTCTGAAAAGATTTACAGCCTTAGAAACCCAGTGGGGTTTGCTATGAGTCAGAATTGACTTGATGGCAGTGAATTTTTGTTTTGAGATCCATTTTATATATATATATATATATATATATATATATACACACACACACACACACACACACACACA